TATTCCACTGAGCCATCTCCCCAGCCTCCATGATAGATTTTCTAATGAATATTTTTTTAATTGGCTGTACATTAACTAGTCCATATAATGGCTATATGAAGCTTAATTATTCTTCTATACTTAGATATTTTGGTTGAACATAACTTTCTTGGAAAGAACTGTTTTTATTTATTATTATTTTTAATTCATTGAAAATAGAAATTCAGTCTTTACCTCTAGGACTACCATAGATCACCATGGATCAGTGGACAATGCTCATCTCCCTCACTACATGCTGGACAGCCTTGTCCATTGGTACTGTCCAGATGTCATGTGGAATTATGGAATACATGTGTGGAACATTTGCTCAAAGAGAAGTCACAAATTTTGTGCCCCTTGTCACAGTGACCCTAAATTCCTGTTGGGTATGTTGTAAACATAGAAGCCATTCTTCAGGCCACCTGCTCTGAGCACACCCATGAACATAACCTTAAGGTCCTCTTCAATTCTAAATCTAATAATTACTAATATATCTGGATTATTTTCTCAACTGCTATCATTTTAATCCATAAACAGATGCATTCCTTGTTCAGAGAATACTGATATATCATGATCCAGAATCAAGAAGATATTCTAAACAAGCACATCCTACTCAGCTATAAATGGAACCTTGTTACTGGTGTGCGATTCTTAGGTGATATCTCTCTTTGTAAGACTCTGCACCCCTACTCTATATTAAAGTTTCACCAAGCACAAAGTCTATACATTGAGCCTTAGGCCAGTCCACAGCAAATCTTACATACCTAGAAATCTTAACTGTAAGAAAACTCAGTTTTCCTATGTGTATTAAATGGGCCCATCCTTGTTTAACCACTCAAAAAGAATGGTCAAATATCTCCTTCAAGTGATTTCACTTCTATTTCATTGCAATTTTTAGTAGAAGCCTCAGTACATATAGTAAATACTGAATGATTTGTTCACCATAGATGGACAATGACTAGAAAGAGGGCTCATAGGATAGGCATTGTGGTATTTACCTTTTTCCCTTCCTGGAGTTAGAAGAAGTGGAAGAAGGTTCTGGAAGAAGGCTTTGATAGGTAAGAAACTTCTGGATAAAGAAATATTTCAGGGCTGGTGAGATGGCTCAGTGGTCTAAAGCACCTACTTAGAACAAGCTTAGCAAAGCACAGGGACTGTGGTTCAATCCCCCAGCACCACATGCCAGCCAGCCTCGCCCCCTGGTGGGCTGAGCTGGCCACACACACACACACATTAAAAAAAAATATTTCTAAGACCTCAAAT